TAGTCTCAAAGGTGCTACAAGATCTCTCTACATACTAATTCTACAGACCAACAATTTGAATTTTGTTTGTATGTTTGCTTGTGTGGCCTTGGCTATTAAGGAAAGCAAGAACAAGAGCTACAGCCTTGTTTCTCTACCAACCTTAACACTAGGATCCAATACTTTGGGGACCTTCAGGCTTGTGTGGTCCCGGTGCTGTTTGCAGAAGATATATGAGGAATCAGTGGAGATGAACGACCAATGGGGAAAACTGCCAACTTGTTCTGAACAAGAAGCAAAGCCTGCCATTTTATGCAACTTGGGAGTGAATCAATTTAACAGGATGAGACTTCTTCCCTGACACAAAATCTGCCTTCTACAGTAATGTTTATTTGGTGGGATTCAGTGGCATCCCTAGGGTTGGTGTCACCCGGTGTGGTATCTCATGGTGTCGTCCCCCCAGCTGACCTCCACCCATTTCACAGCATACAGAATCCTTAGTAATGCTTTTTTGCACTAATGTTACTTGTAAATTGCAATTCTCACATGCCACTGAATGTAATGCTAATAGTTGTGACATAAACAATTAGAAAAATTAAAATTATACCTTCAAATTACAATATAATATGCACAACCTAAATGTATTTACATATACATAGTGAAGATTTGGTTAAAATGTGACTTTTTTTAAAAAAAAATAAAAGAATATTTTTTAAATTTCAGATTTTTCTAAAAAAATTGAAATTTAAAAAATTTGGGGGTCTCTCCTTTCTCCTCCCACTGAGCTTCACCCCACTTCCGCCATCTCTTAAAACATTTTAAAGGGAAGCAGGTGAATGCTACAATCTGTTTCTGCCAAAAGGTAGATGTTTGAGGAACAGTGGCATCACCACTCCCTTTAGGGTGTCACCTAATGTAGCCTGCACCCCCCAAACCCCCTAGTGATGCTACTGGTGGGATTGACTACTTTTAATAAATGCAGACTGTTTACTCATACTTCCACTTGTGAAGAAGAAAACATATTTAAGCAACATGAAAAAGCGGAGGTGGGCAACTATTACCCTCTTGCTGTTGTGTCACTTCAAGTCGTTTCTGATTTAGGGCAACTCTAAAGTGACCCAATCATGGGGTTTTCTTGGCAAGATTTGTTCAGAGGAGGTTTGCCATTGCCTTCCCCTGTGGCTGAAAGCATAGAATTTACCCAAGGCCACCCAGTGGGTTTTAGGGTTTCATGGCCAGGCTGGGAATTGAACCCTGGTCTCTCGAGTTGCAGTTGAACACTCAAGCCATTATACCATGCTGGCTTTCTTAGGGCCTAAGCAGACTGCCAGAAATAGTGCACATTAAATTGAGGCACTGCCCTGGCTCAGTGCTAGGGAATCATGGGAACTGTACTTTATTGTGGCACCAGAGCTCTCTGACAGAGAAGGCTCAATGTCTCAGAAAAAAAATACAATTCCCATGATTCCCAAGCACTGAGCCAGGGCAGTGCCTCAATTTAATGTGCACTATTTCTGGCAGTCTGCATCATTATTTTGGATATATAGCAAGACTGGAAGAGAACAATAATGGATATGGTGGCACACTGGCTTTAGTGATGTACAAGGGTGTTATGTGCTAAAGGGGGAAGCTTGAATATGGGGACTTGATGGCAGAGGTGTAACCAAGCTGTATTTGAAAATAAAAGTTGAAGGACAGAAAGATTGAAGAACTTACCACAGATATTAACATGTTTATGTGCACTCAAGGAGAGGAAAGGCCAATCTTCAGATAAAAAGTTGCTTCAGCTGGGATGCCTTCTATTCTGTCAGGCTTTGGCAGACCTGAGCAGGTTTGAAAATGGGAAGGTTTTGCACTCTCCTTTGTCGATGCCTTCTATTTTGTCAGGCTTTGGCTGACCTGAGCAGGTTTGAAAATGGGAAGGTTTTGCACTCTCCTTTGCCCCCAACTATACCAGGGATTCAAAATAACAACATGGTGGTGTGAGAAGCTCATAGGAGACAATGGTAGGAAGGATAAACAAATCTTACTGGATTTAGGGTCTAGTAATGCTGGAAAGGCTAACTGAAATATGGTATTATTGCTTAAAAACACAAGTGTGCACAGCATTAAAAGCACTGACTGTGATGAAGTACTCCAAATGAACAAATTCCAAATGAACATCTGAGCTGGCCAGTTGCTAAGCCTGACTTCCCTAATAAAGTTGGTTTCAACGTTGGGACAAACGTGAAGAGTTAGGGTGCCACAAGTTCAAACATAGGGTGCATCTACACTGTAGAAATAATGCAATTCCACACTATTTAACTGTCATAGCTACATTGTACAGAATCCTTAGATTTGTTATTTTGTGAGCCACCAGCACTCTCTGGCAGAGAAGGTTCAAGACTCTGGGGCTGTTCCCACTATGATTTGCAGTGAGTTGTGCTGTCCTAGAGCTGGTCCCCGCTAGAAGCATCTCAAATGGCACTAGTGGGAATTCAGCCTCAACTGCTTCAGCCACCCAGTGTCAACACGATTCACAAACCAATTTAAAAGTAAATGGGAGCAGCCCCTCTGTAAAACTACAAATACCAAGATTCCATGGAGCTACAGCATTTAAAGTGGTGTCAGACTGCATTATTTTGACAGTGTAGATGCATTCATAGCTGACCATTATTTCACTTAGATAAAGATAGCAAAGTGAAGCCTTCTTAGTGTTGCTTGACTCTGTCTCTCGGTATTCATCGCCTTTGTCTATCCTGGCTAAGGCTTATGGGAGCTGCATTCCAATAGCATCTTGACAGCTGCCCTTTGCCTACCACTGACCTCCTTTCCTTACTTCTAAGGAACAAAAGTACACATTTATAGAATTAACTAACTATATGTTCTCTTGAGTCCATACCAGGAGGATAGAAAAACACTACTGACTGTTGAACATCCAGATTATACCAAACAGGGCACATGTTAGGGGATGGGCTGGTCACTTTTGGAGTCTGGGGTTAGCAATCCCTCCCTTCCCATTATTTTAAAAGAAAGCATGTGAGAAGCACACTTCTTATTTCAGAGTCAATTTGTGCTTCTTGGGAGTATTCAAAACAAATTACATGCTCCCTCTGCACTTTGTTTTAAAGCAAGTACAGGAGGGTTTCCACTGTCATACCACCAAAGTTTAGCAATGCAGCAGCAAATGTGGTGGGGTGGTAGAAGAGAAAAAAACCTCAAAACCACCTCAAAAATAGGTTTTATTGGTGATTTAGGGGCTTTATAGCACGCCATGGCCCCAATTCGGAGGGTTGCTGATCTAAAAAGAGCTGGCAAATTCCGCTCCTTTTTAGAGTGGCAAAAAGCTGTCCTTGCCATAGCAGCTTTTCAGTGCTCCTTTGGCATAGCGTGTATGAGTGCTGTGCCAAGGGAGTGCCCTGATGCTGCCCGCCATGTGGTGGGGTGCATGGCGTGACAGCAGCATTGGGGCAGAGTCGGGGCGGCTGGCATGCGGTCGCCACGCCCTGATTCCACCCCCAGGCTGGCCATTTTGGCTGGTCTGTATAGCCTGTTAGTTAATAGCAATACTATGACCTAATTTGAATAGGTAGTCCCAAATACAGTAAACCCACTGAAATAATTACTGAATGAGAAATCAACCGTTTAGTAAATCCAGCACTTTAGTACCCTAGTAGTTATATGTCTTGTTGGGAGATTTAACTTTTTGATTAATTCATCTGATGCGGTAATGCTCTGATTCTGAATAAAGCATGCCACACCACACTACAGCTCGGTTCTCTTGGTAGAGCTATTATAAAAATATATGGTGACCTTTCCAAGGAGTCGAGTAGGATAGCTCAAAGACTGAAAGTGGCTAGCCAGCATCCCTTTTCAATCTTGCTACCATAATATTTCAGAGTTAAACCACTCTATCAATCTGCTCAGTTGTGGCAGTGCTTGATCTTTAGCTATTTTAGGGTACAGTTAGTGCATGTAGCACTGTGTGGTGGCTCAACTGGTTAAGATGCTGACTCTGTTGATGCAAGATTGGCAGGCTGGCAGTTTGAGGCCCAGGTGCTGCATGATGGGATGAGCTCCTGTCACTAGTCCCAGCTTCTGCCAATCTAGCAATTCAAATGCAAGTAGATAATTAGGTACCACTTCTCAATGGGAAGTAAACAGCATTCTGTGCAATCATGCTGGCCACATGATCATAGAGTAGTCTCTGACAACACTGGCTCTTCGGCTTAGTAGGGTCTAGTACGTAACTTAGGAAAGTTCTGACTTAGAAAAAATGGCTGCCAAAGCAAGTTAAGTCAGCCATGCTGAATTCAGGCTGCATTCCAATGGAGGTTTTTGGGGAAAATCCATGAGATAACATCTGGATGCAGCTCAAATTTTACTTCAGTTCAGGCAATGTAAGGCTCTTTTTAATGTGTTCTAAAGGTAGTGCAATAATCTCCTAAAGCACTGCTACAGATTACATTCACTACAACCCTAAGGGTGTTTTTGCAGATCTAGTCTCCTCCTGCACCCTGCAACCCCCACCCCCACTTTTTTAAAAATGCAAAACATCAAATCAAATTGCTATTTCCATTTCTGGAAGCCCCCAAGACTTTTGCCTCACCCACTCTCCCCCCACTGTCCAGATTTGGTAAGGATAGTCCCATTTAATCCTCTGTGGTCTCACTTCTTCAGTTGCTTTTAAATGTCCCATTTTCTCTCTACTCCACCACTTCCCACTCCTTTTATTTTTATTAATGCAAACTAAGCATTAACTCAGCAGGAGGGAAAGGAGAGGGCAGAATCTTGATGTTCTCAGTAAGTTGAGAGGCACTGATTTGTGAAGTGTTAGGTTATGAAAACAAGGCACAGACCCCCTGTACTTTCCCTCTGTAACTCCTCTCCCCATGGGTCCTAGATCTCCAGACTTTACCCACTCTAAGTTTTAGTCAATGGCAAGGGGTTCAAGTAATGTTGTCAATGTAAAATATGGATTCAGTTGGGAGAAAAAACACAACGGGAATAAATTTCAATATATGGAAAGAAACAATCTGGCAGAACCAGGCACAGACCAAAACTGGGGGCCTAAAACAGAGAATGGCAATGGATGCAGATGTTATTAAAAATCCCTGCTTAGATATCATTAGTGTTGCTCCAAGCTTATGGGGCAATCCATGATGCTGTGTTTTGCGAGAGGTACTCAAGAGGATAGCAATGGCACCCCCCCCCTCTGAAGAAACTTGCCAAGAAAATCCTGTGATAGCTTCACTTTAGGGTCACCACAGGTCAGAAATGACTTGAAGGCACATAACAACACACAACACACACTTATGTAGCAGTGACTGACTTGGGTAAGAGCACAAGTTCTACCCTTGAAAACAAGGTAAGGGCTTCAAGGAATCCTTCAGATTTTATCAACCTACAGAAGCAAATAATTTTAACATTGTGTGCCTTCAAGTTGCCTGTCGACTTATAGCAACCTCATGGATTTCATAAGGTTTTCTTAATCAAGGAATACTCAGGGTTGGTTTTGCCAGTTCCTTCCTCTGAAATATAATCTGCAGCATCTGGTATTCAAGAGCCAGTGTGATGCAATGGCTTGAGTGTTGGACTAGGGCACTGGGAAACCAGATTAAATCCCCACTTGGCCATAGAAACCCACTGGATGGCCTTGGGCAAATGACAGTACTGTCGTTCTAAGAGGAAGGAAACCCTCTCTGAACAAATTCTGTCAAGAAAACCTTGTGATAGCTCATCTTAGGGTTACCATCAGTCAGAAATTATTTGAAAGTACACAACATTACCATCTTGTATTCATAAGCGGTCCCCCATCCAAATACTAACCAGGGTTGACCTTGGTTAGATTCCAAGATCAGATAGGTTCTGTTGCTGTTGTGTGCCTTCAAGTCATTTCCAACTTATAGTGATCCTAAGACAAACCTATCATGGGATTTTCTTGGCAAGACTTGTTCAGAGGAGATTTGCCATTGCCGTCCCCTGAGGCTAAGAGTATGTGATTTGCTGAAGATCATTGAGTGGTTTCATGGCCAAGCTGGGAATTGAACCCTGGTCTCCAGAGTCATCATCTTACACATCTTACATCTGGAGCACCTAAGCCTGAAAACCACAGGTTTAGAACATTTTTACCAACCACCATACTAACTAATCTTCAGAGCTTAAAACCAGATGCTTCATATATGGATAAGTGGTGGCCTTGCCAATAGTTGCTAATGCATCACCATCAGTTAATCTGCAAGAACTGAAATTTATAAAATCAAATTCTAAGTTAGCCTTCTAGATGTTTTGGACTGCAGTTACCATCAGCTCCAGCTATGGGAAT